TGTTAGCTAGGATATGTATACCAGACATTTGCTTTTCTTTTGACATTATATAGCTTAGGATGCATCGCATGGACTCTGCATGGAGCTTGCTCCGCATCCTAGATTTCTCAACTTTCTTTATTGCAGAGTTCCGCTGCTTTTGCGGATAGCGTGTTTATGGCTTTTGCGATCCATTACAGGTCTGAGGATCGTGCAGCGGGCCTTCATCTGCCCTGGCCCACAGCCAGGGCCTATTTGGCTATTCGCCAGGCCGGCCTGTGGGACCAGGCCGGCCTGTGGGACCAGGCCGTGCGGTTATTCAGTCCAGTCCAGTCCTGCCCGGTACCACTGTCGGTACCAGGCCAGTCTAGTCCAGTCCAGTCAGTCCGCTGGGGGTATATCCCAGCTGCAGTCCGTTTTGTGGCATTCTTCATTTGCACAGATTGGAGTACGTGCGTGTTGAGTCTGCGTTGGAGCTGCGCTGTCCCTTCCAGCTCCATCTCCATCTCCCCCATCCTCATCCCTTCGTCTTGATCCTGACGGACCACCATCCCGGCGGGTCCGTCACACCAACGACCTTATAGGCTCTCAAAATCACAGAATAGCAAAATGAGCGGCCAGATCAAGTTCTTCAATTAGGAGGACTGGATCTGGCCGCTGATTTTGCGATTCTGCGATTTTGAGTGTGAGTCTTCCCTTACTCTACGGAATCAATCCGAAGATTCCAAAGAATAATGCACATGCCGTCCAACAGTACCAAATACTACCAATGCAAAAGAGCTCAACAATGCAACTCGATGCAAATGTCTGCATGTGTGTGTGCGTGAGTTCAACAATTTAAACACATTGCACTCGCACACGCACGTCTGCGTACCTGTGCAGGTCTGATAGGTCCGTAAGTGTAGGTCAGTGTGCATATGTATGTGAGAGTGTGTGTGCATGGGAATGTGCCCATACGCAGACGTGTGTGCATGCAAGTGAAGCGCACACAAGTCGCACATGCCATTCCCACATCGCATGGAAAAATCCTGAAAAAAGAGATGGCATACAACAGAACTTCAAAATTTTGGCCGACGACAAATACTCGAAACATTTCCCAGAAGGGTCGGAATCATTAATTATTAAAATAATCAAATAATCAAATAATCAAATAATTCACCCAAAATATGTGATCATTCCGTAACCACTAATTAATCAAGTAATGAATCCAACGGATACATTAGACCAGATACCGCCATTAAATGGCACGAATTAATTAATTTAGCAACAAATAAGTATGCGACCCCGACATGCAGCGACATCCTTATTTCCTGACTCCATCAGCTAGTAGTCATCCCCTCCTTACACCGTGGAATCCATACTGTTTACCGCTTCCATGTTCAAAAGGATTCTCCATGTCACCTGCATTCTCATCCCCCCCCCCCCCCCCCCCCCCTCTCCCTCCCACCAACTGCAGTTGGTACTAAGCCCATTCTGAAATGGAGTCACTACCGACCCCACGGTGTCAACAGGGAAAAAATAAAATAAAATAAAATAATCCCATTTTTTATTGTTTTGCGACCAATCACAAGGCACCACACAAAGACCCATCAGGTGAAAAAGGTATGCAATCACGCACAAGAAATCCATCCCGCGAAAAAGAAATACACCAGTGTGCGATCAGGACTTAGCGTCACACAAACAGCCATCACGGAGAAAAGCACAAATTTCGAATTTGTGTGTGAAAATTCCAAGAAACCAAAGGTGATTGGGATGATTGATTGTCCACGAAAGAGTAGTAATTCAGGATTCCAAGTATTCTCTGATTGTAGGATCTTAATATGTCAGCATGATCCATGGGGACTATTCCACGATTTGCCGTGGGTATAAAGTCTCCTTTCAAAAATCCCTGTTCTCGCAGTGTACAAAATCAATTGCCCTGCACTTCATAACCGGGCTAAAGTCACCATCTCGCCAACCACAGCCACACAAACTGCATTTAATAATTTTAATCTCTACACTGGCGTGAGTAGGCCTTAGCGACACACAAACACCCATCACCAAAAGAGATACCAATGCGAGGCCAAGGCCCCGATGAGCCCCTTTTCAGCCCTGTCATGCAATACGCCGGCTGCCCTAAGTGAAGGCAGGCTTGACGAGGGCCTGAGGGCCCCTATTTCGGACACCA